TTCGCTCTTCTTAAAAAGGAGTATTTCGGATATTGTAAATTCGTCCTCAATTATGTTACATAAAAAAGGGTTTATGAAGTATGCAAACGTACATTCAAATAATTTCAAATCGGTAAATCTTTTTTTCAAAATCTGCTTATAAATCATGTGCAATATTTTTTTCCAGCCATGGAAAATGATGAAATCATAATGTAATAAACAAAGTGAAATCAATACTTGACGTACGCTTATTTGAAATTTTAAATGTAAACAATTCGTATATTTGTTAATATTAAACCTCTTTCAGCTTTGTTTCACGTATGGTACGATGAAGCATATAACAAAAGCTACATACATATGTATGTACGAATGCGTTACGGCTTAGCGAATTCAAACACAACTTCTTATATTGCGAATTCATGTTGGTATAGAAAATATTCCCATACCCCTGAATAGAGTCATCGTTGCGTTGGCAAGAGAAGAGGTATAACTAATGGGACCAACTACTTCATAGTTCAAAGAAGTACAGGTTAGGTTGGATTAGGTTAACGCCACGAACCGATTACCAAATTTCGAATGCGGCTAATTTCTATCCAGCTCAGTGTTAATTCAGAAGAGCGAGCCAAAATCCTTCCATCTTAGCCTCGCGAAGGTTGGACAGTGTAAAAAAAAGTGTGGAGATGATTTCACTTCATCAGCTGATACAAAAGGGATTAGTTGAAATTTCTAGTCTTACCGAGTGAATATCAATCGCGTAATGGCCTGTCAGAACCCCCTTCACTAGCTCTTGAGAGGTAACGTGGTATTCGGCACCTTTAAGGCGTAACGATGGGTCACTTGTGTCTTGTGTCGCTTTCTTTTGTCTATTTTATTATGTATTTAATAGAATATGCGATTTCATTATAGCAAGTGCGATAGTTACGATAGTGCATGATAGTCTAGCGCTCTCCGAGCTCACACTAGGCCCAACCCATCCAAGAGTGTACCGCAGGAGGACAGAGGCGTCCGTAGTTGCTCCTTATCTGGGGATAACGTTTTAACGGTGCCTTTCCAACGCCAGGTCATCAGCCACGCAGTTTTCCGCGATGTTACTGTGACCCGGCACCTAAACTAGAATAAGTACCTAAAAAGTACTCTGGCGCGATGGATAAAGAAGTCAGATATTCCTTTACCGATTTCTAATGCACCATCACACCCTTTAGAAGTGAGTCTACCGCTTCCTTGATGGCAGCTATTTCTACCTGAAAGACACTGCAGAAGTCCGGAGCCTTAGTAACCTTAGTAGGTAGAGATAGCTTCTGGAAGGCATTTCAGAGGCGCTGTAATCTATGTGTTCAGGGCGAAGTCAAAGCCCCCATAAATCCAGAGTGTTACCACCCGCTTTCCCTTAGCCTAATAGCAGTTCGTGCTACTACAATTCTGTCTACAATATCCTCAGGCGCCGTGTTCAACGTGACGTTAAGCGCCAGTGTAGGTGTGGTTCCTAATGCTCCACTCATTCCTTATTTACAAGTGTAGCTTTCTCTAGCGGGTTCTACCAGATAAGGGCTCCGTGAAACAATATCAGCTTAAATCTGGTTCTATAGAGATAACGAATTAGCTTTTACCGATAGCTAGTTTTGCTGAGATTTACTGCGAAGCCACTCTTGATCGCCCACCTAGTTACCAGTATCAGGTAACCTTAAGGCAGAAAAAAAGGGTGTATAGAAACCGTCCCTTAACCAAAAGATTCACATAATCTACATAGGCGGGCACCCAACATACCACTTTTTCAGTTCCTCCAGAAGGTCGTTTACAACCGCAACGCAGAGCAGGGAAGGAAGAACATCACCTTTTGGAGTACCCATATTGTCTCTGCAGTGCAGTGCTGGCGCTCCCCCACTCCGCCGCGACAGTTCGGTCACAAAGTAAGCAGTAGATAAGCCTTATTAGGTTGCTTTTAACCCCCCGATTATGAATAGACTTGACTATTGCCTCTGGAGTGACATTGTTGAAGGCTCTCTCGATATCGAGGAAGGCCCCGACTGTTTCTTCTGACCACTTTAGCAATGTGTGCAGAGTGCTATCCACCGACCTTGCAGTAAGCATGTTGAGTTCTTGAAAGATAGTCACGAAGAATCGCGTTTCTTTTGTACAGGTCTATCCATCTCTCTAGCGGTTTTAGCAAAAACAAAGACAGACTGATAGGCCTAAAATCCCTAGGAGAAACATGAGAGCCTTTTCCGGCCTTCGGGATGAACGGAAAAGTGCCAACCTTCCAAGCCTCACGCAGTTCGCCAGTTGGATGCAATCGGTCCCCGGCGACTTTAATTATTTGAACGAATTTATCGCCCAAGCCATGTTACGATGAAGTACAAAATATTGCAAAGAAGTACATTTGACTGTACTTCGAAGTACGAAGTACAAGAACTAAAAAAGGAGTACTGTACTTCCGAAAGAAGTACGGTTGGTCACATTAGGTATAACTGTTCTGCGTTGGGAACACCAAATGGAGCTTACTTATAGTGATTTCGTTTCTTCAAAAAAATGTTGCCCTTCCACGGTGCAAATTGTATTTGGTGCTACAGGGTTGAGCCCTGTTAAAGGGTATCACTGCAAATTTAGTCCTTATTCACACACGAAAAGAGAAAGCGGCAATCAAAAGGTGACATTTTTTGGTAGAAACGAAAACACCATTAGTGTCACTGCTGAGTGGAAGATCGACCTATCTCGGCAGCCAGTTCGAAAACGCCCTATCTCAAAAAACTTTTCAACAACCCTCTATTTCAGAATTTAGTTGAAGAACGCCCTATTGCAGAATTTGATTGAACCGAGTTCTGAGATAGGCCGTTCTTCAACCCGCATTGCACTAGAAATTTCCTGATTTTATCGATTTTAGCAAATAAATTAGTCATTAAAATCGTATATTTTTTGTGAATTACTATTTACTGATATTTACACATATAAATAGTATTGACGAAGGTACAGAAATCGCACTTGGCTGCTTTGTCTCGGAAACAATATGCCAGTACGCAGAATGTCCCCATCTCAAAAGATTTCCCCATATATGTATATACATAAACATTAAGATTACCATCTATTATTACTAAATTGGCGAAAGTATAAATTTTATGCGATACTTCACATCTGTTTGGCGCACTGCGGTTGTAGTTATTGGACGTTATTTTCACTATATGCCTTTGCACTCATGCATTTGAGAACATACCCACACTTTGATCATTACCTCTCATCTGATCAAATAGCAGGTAACATCTTTGATGGATCGAAGCGTCTTCTCTTGGCATTAATCTTATCTTACTAATCTTACTAATATTATAAATGTGAAAGTTTGTATGTTTGGATGTTTGGGAAATCATCACGCAGAAACGACTGAACGGATTTGCATGAAATTTTGTACGCGGATAGCCCATGACCTAGATTGGAAAATAGGCTGCTCTTCTTAAAAGTTGCCACCTGTTAAAAATGTTTCATTAAATTAATACGCGGAAACGACTAAATGGATTTGCATGAAATTTTCCAAGCAGATAGCTTATGACCTACAGAGGAAAATAGGCTAATTTTTTGGAAGGGTTGCCACCTGTTAAGAAAGTTTAATTTATTTAATACGCGGAAACGACTAAACGGATTTGCATGAAATTTTGCACACAGATAGCTTATGATCTAGGTTAGAAAGTAGGCTACTTTTTTTAAAAGTTGCCACCTGTTAGAAATGTTTAATTTTATTAATACGCGGAAATGAGTGAACTGATTTGCATGAAAGTTTTCACTAAGTTAGCTTATGAGCTAGGTTGAAAAATAGGCTACTTTTTTAAGATTTACCACCTACTAAAAAAGTTTAATTAAATTAATTTGCGGAAAAGTCCGAACGGATTTGCATGAAATTTTGCAAGCAGATAGCTTATGATCTACAGTGGAAAATAGGCTAATTTTTTGGAAGAGTTTCCACCTGTTAAAAAAGTTTTAATTAAATTAATACGCGGAAACGACTGAACAGATTTGCATGACAATTCGCACAGAGATAGCTTATGACCTAGACTGGAAAATAGGCTACTTTTTTAAGAATTGCCACCTGCTTGAAAATGAAATTTTGCTCAAAGGTGGTTTATGACCTGTAGTGCGATTCACTACTCTATTTTAACAACACTTGTTATCGTTATATCAACTAAACAAGAATTTTATCGATTTTGCTATTCAGAAAACGTTTCCTTAACAACACCGGCCTTCGAAAAATCAGCTGTTATCGTTTACGATTCGGCTATTGCTAAATTGTCGACATCTCAATTGGAGTTGTCAATTTTGTGTTAGCGTAAATATCTAAACAAATAAAAGTAACTTAATACGAAAAAAAGGAGTAAATACAAATTAGAGATGGCTTTCGAATTTGTAGCTTTAAGCTTGTCTCAAAACGAGCCAGAGACAAATTTTTCAACGGTGGATCGGCGTTTTCTGCGGGATATTGATAATCCCCTAGAACTCCCACCTTCAGAGTTCCGGAAGCTTTACCGTGTGCGTCCAGGCATGGTGGCGGACGTGGTTGAACGGCTGGAAGACCTTTTAAAAGGTTCACGAATTACAGCGATATCGGCTGAAAAACAGGTAAAGCATTAAATATTTACTTTTAATAAAGTTTTACATGTGTCAATAAATTCACTTTTGTTTTGAAAGGTTCTGTGCGCTTTGCGATTCTACGCCACGGGATGTTATCAACGGCCCGTGGGGGAACAATGGGGAATTTCACTGAGTCAGTCATCAACCAGCCGCTGCATACACAAGGTAACCGAAGCCATCAATAGCCGCTTATTCTTGTCGGAAGTGAAGTTCCCCATGACCCAAATAGAACGTCAAGCTGCCAAGGAAGCGTTTTCCTTAGCTCCTGCGCCTTTTGTCGGAGGAACCATCGGGGCGATCGACTGCACCCACATATCCATTTTGGGTCCTAAAAATAATGAGGAAGCATACGTTAATCATCATGGATATCACTCCATAAATGTGCAAATGGTAAGCAAAGCATTTGAAATGAAGTATAGTGTTAATTGTTTATTGTGTTTGCTATAGATATGTGACCCAAATCTTAAAATCCTGAACGTGAATGCCAGGTATCCGGGAGCAAGACATGATTCCTATATTTGGAGCTCTTCCGCTGTGCGACAAGTCATGCAGCGAGCGTTTGAAAATGGAAACCGCAATATGTTTTTGATTGGTATTTATTTTTGTTAATTTATTTTAAAATATAATACTAAAAGATGTTTCTTTAAGGGGATTCTGGATACCCATTAGAGCCATGGCTCCTTTACCCAACCAGCCAGAAGGGTCACCAAAATTTCGGTACAATGAAGCGCTCTGCAAGGCACGGAACCCGATTGAGAGACTCTTTGGCGTCCTTAAAGGAACGTGGCGATGCTTATCACAACAAAGGGTTCTGTTGTATGACCCCGCTTTCGCTGGTAAAGTCGTTAACGCGTGTGCAGCCCTTCATAACATTCGTTTAAGTGAGCGGTCAATTAGCGATCCTATTGTAAATTTTTCAACAGATTTTGAGAATTCTGACAGAATTTTCGAAAGCCCAAATGCATCATCTTCCACTGCAAAACGTGTACAAGAAAGATTGATTACAAACTTCTTTTCCTAAAATTTGTATGATTACACTTCTAAGGGCCGTTTTCTGAAGTAACCTTTAACTTGAAAGCTCACTATATATTTAAAGGTTGGATTAAAAATAAAGCTATGTCTAAAGTTAAGCATTTCTATTATCGGTTTTTGACGTATGTATGTTTCCTGGTTGTAAATCAATTTAAAACCGACAAAAAAATGATTTACTTTAGACACTATCATAAACTTTAATGCAACCTTTAAATATAAAGTGAGCTTTAAAGTTACAGGCTACTTGAGAAAACGGCCATAACAGTTCAAAAAATTAAAGCTTAGAATCAAATATTTATAAGTACATACTTTATTAAAAATGTAAATATCACACGGTATTTTTGCCTTAATGGTATATTAAAATTAGTCACACTAGATCATAAGCTTTCTTCTTATTTCTTATGTTAAATTTTCCCCTGAATCCAAACATGCAGTCAGAGATTTAGAAAGTAAATCCGTTTCGAGGTATATATAAATTTCGGTTTTTTGAGAACTGAAACAAGTTCACTCATTGAATTTAAATTTCTTTTTATACCAGTAAAGCTTTTACATTTGCTATCATTTATTTCAACATTATTGATTTATTGCCAAATTTGAATATGCATGTTGGCATAGATGATAGCAAATTTAACAAGCTTCACTAGTAAAAAAAGAAATTTACATTCAAATTTATATATACCTCGACAACGGATTTACTTTCTAAATCTCTGACTGCATATTTGTATTCAAGGACAAATTTTACATAAAAAAAAGATGTTAAAACGCCACAGGTCAGATTTCTTGTAAACTGTTATTATCAATTAAATTTAATAATTTATTTTTGAGCTTTAGGTCGTATGTTAAATAAAAC